TATATCCTTACTCCTTCATGGGGACGAGAATTGTATGGATGCCAACGTCTTTATTATGAGGAACACAACGTTTCGGAGTGTATCCTTACTCATTCATAAGGTGAGGAAGATAGTTTTATCGATGTCAACTCCTTTATCATGAGGAATACAACGTTTCGGAGTGTACCTTTACTCCTTCATGAGGAAGAGAGTTTTGGTGATGTCAACTTCGTTATTATGAGGATGATGCTCAGGCACTGGTGATATCCTAGGGCTATTGTGATACTAGTGTATGGGCACTGCTGATGTGACGGTGCCACTGTTGTGGTTCGGGGCACTGGGCAGTGTTGTGCTGGTGGATTGTGCTAGTGTGATAATGACAGGACACTGCTGATGTGATGGTGCCAATGTTGTGGTTCGGGGCACTGGGCAGTGTTGTGCTGGTGGATTGTGCTAGTGTGATAATGACAGGACACTGCTGATGTGATGGGGTCATTGTTGTGGTTCGGGGCACTGGGCAGTGTTGTGCTGGTGGATTGTGCTAGTGTGATAATGACAGGACACTGCTGATGTGATGGTGCCATTGTTGTGGTTCGGGGCACTGGGCAGTGTTGTGCTGGTGGATTGTGCTAGTGTGATAATGACAGGACACTGCTGATGTGATGGTGCCACTGTTGTGGTTCGGGGCACTGGGCAGTGTTGTACTGGTGGATTGTGCTAGTGTGATAATGACAGGACACTGCTGATGTGACGGTGCCACTGTTGTGGTTCGGGGCACTGGGCAGTGTTGTGCTGGTGGATTGTGCTAGTGTGATAATGACAGGACACTGCTGATGTGATGGTGCCACCGTTGTGGTTCGGGGCACTGGGCAGTGTTATGCTGGTGGATTGTGCTAGTGTGATAATGACAGGACACTGCTGATGTGACGTTGCCACTGTTATGGTTCGGGGCACTGGGCAGTGTTGTGCTGGTGGATTGTGCTAGTGTGATAATGACAGGTCACTGCTGATGTGATGGTGCCCCTGTTGTGGTTCGGGGCACTGGGAAGTGTTGTGCTGGTGGATTGTGCTAGTGTGATAATGACAGGACACTGCTGATGTGATGGTGCCAATGTTGTGGTTCGGGGCACTGGGCAGTGTTGTGCTGGTGGATTGTGCTAGTGTGATAATGACAGGACACTGCTGATGTGATGGTGCCACTGTTATGGTTCGGGGCACTGGGCAGTGTTGTGCTGGTGGATTGTGCTAGTGTGATAATGACAGGACACTGCTGATGTGATGGTGCCCCTGTTGTGGTTCGGGGCACTGGGCAGTGTTGTGCTGGTGGATTGTGCTAGTGTGATAAATGACAGGACACTGCTGATGTGATGGTGCCACTGTTGTGGTTCGGGGCACTGGGCAGTGTTGTGCTGGTGGATTGTGCTAGTGTGATAATGACAGGACACTGCTGATGTGACGGTGCCACTGTTATGGTTCGGGGCACTGGGCAGTGTTGTGCTGGTGGATTGTGCTAGTGTGATAATGACAGGACACTGCTGATGTGATGGGGTCATTGGTATGGTTCGGGGCACTGGGCAGTGTTGTGCTGGTGGATTGTGCTAGTGTGATAATGACAGGACACTGCTGATGTGATGGTGCCACTGTTATGGTTCGGGGCACTGGGCAGTGTTGTGCTGGTGGATTGTGCTAGTGTGATAATGACAGGACACTGCTGATGTGATGGTGCCCCTGTTGTGGTTCGGGGCACTGGGCAGTGTTGTGCTGGTTGATTGTGCTAGTGTGATAATGACAGGACACTGCTGATGTGACGTTGCCACTGTTGTGGTTCGGGGCACTGGGAAGTGTTGTGCTGGTGGATTGTGCTAGTGTGATAAATGACAGGTCACTGCTGATGTGATGGTGCCACTGTTGTGGTTCGGGGCACTGGGCAGTGTTGTGCCGGTGGATTGTGCTAGTGTGATAATGACAGGACACTGCTGATGTGATGGTGCCACTGTTGTGGTTCGGGGCACTGGGCAGTGTTGTGCTGATGGATTGTGCTAGTGTGATAAATGACAGGACACTGCTGATGTGATGGTGCCCCTGTTGTGGTTCGGGGCACTGGGCAGTGTTGTGCTAGTTGATTGTGCTAGTGTGATAATGACAGGACACTGCTGATGTGACGTTGCCACTGTTATGGTTCGGGGCACTGGGCAGTGTTGTGCTGGTGGATTGTGCTAGTGTGATAATGACAGGTCACTGCTGATGTGATGGTGCCCCTGTTGTGGTTCGGGGCACTGGGCAGTTTTGTGCTGGTGGATTGTGCTAGTGTGATAATGACAGGACACTGCTGATGGATTGTGCTAGTGTGATTATAGCAGGGCACTAGTCATAAACTAGTGCGATATGTTTAGGCGGAGGTTAGGATCACACAGTCCTCAGTCTAAACATCACAAATATGCAGTTTATTGTCTTCAGCCACGAGTCATGGTTCAAGACTGTAATAGCATCATTCACATCGACTCGTTCGGTCCGGATTCACGGGGTGCCACTATTGACGGAGGCTTCACATGGTACAATTGTCGCTCAGCTCTCCCATTTGTGTATATTATAGTTATGCTATACCACAAAAATATCTCTTAAATTTAACTTTGTACTATATTCGTAGATACTATTTTTTTCCCTCCAGCTCTGTGGCTGAAATAATGCTGATGCCACGTTAAGGTTGAACTCTCACTATGTCAACAACGGATGTAACAGCGTGAAAACCCTTTAAGATGAACTCATCACACATACGTATTACGTACGATATATATTGTCCCAATGACTCGACTCGATTGTTTTACTGTAGCAATATTCATTTCCACCTACACAGTCGACAGTATGACCGATGGTTGGAAGGAACGATCTATCATTTTGTCATCATGATCTGATAGTACAAGAGAGTGAGTTTGGCATTACTTAAAAATTAGGCTCTCTCGCCGAAATGTGATAACATTGATAGTTGTTGAAAACACTTATTTCTCTGTATGTCTGAAATATCTGAGTCTTGAAACCAGTCTGCAGATGGGTTGTCATGGCTACAGCCATTTCAACGTTTATTTAACTTTAACTGGTTACACAATGACGCAGTTCTCTGACCAGAAACGCCCCAACTACTTCAATTCATGCCTCTATTTTTATGCGAACCCTTCGGAGAGAGGTCTGTTTTTGTTCTCTTGTAAAAACGTAATCGCGAATATATACTGAGAAGCACATTTCATTAATATGCCATGTTTTCGTGTAAACATATCGGAAATAGATTTAAGACTCATGTGGCTGTGACTTTATACATCTAGGTACATTCACACCTGGAATACAATAAACTGGTCTGTTTACGGTGGGTAATGTAAGCAATTTGTTCCAGCATTATCAAGGCTAAGCGGTCTGAAAAAGGCCTCCTCTCAATGTATCGAACCCAAAGATATGACGTGACAAGGAAATACTTTGACTCTAAGGCTAACCCGACGGCCCGCCATTTCAGAAAAAATGTTCCACTATTCTATAGCTAATTACTTTGAGGTTGTATTATAACACACAGAGAGAGAGAGAGAGAGAGACAGACAGACAAGTACACTACTACACTCACACAAACACATACAGAGAGAGAGAGACAAACAACCACACGCGCGCACGCACACACACACACACCAACACCAACCATTTTCAGCCACATACCACATATGCTGACTAACTGTAAAAGCGCACATAATTATATTATCATGGGGACACATATTCGGGTATTCACCCTTATATTAGGGTTCAGGCTCACTGGAACTATTGATCCAGGCTGCTTAATCTCTGGCGTTGCTTTCCAAAAAGCTTCAACTTGTATTCTTGCTATCCGACATCACAACTAGTATATCATGGCTTCAGCCCCATTTAGTAGTGATTACCCGATGCCCCTTTAACAAACAAAGAGGATAAATAAATGTAACAGCGAAGATGCTTGCTTTCGTGTTTATGAAGAAGCTCGTTCTTTACAATCCTAAATTGTGATTAATTTTCACCATCACCTTGTTCAACTGGCAGACCAAGATATGTTTGGAAGAAATCAATTATGCTGATAAGGACTCCTTGTGCTGTTACAAAAAAAAATGCAGTGTATCCAAATGATAAAAAAACAACCATTTCCATATTCAAAAGACATATCTGCTAAACTTGTGTTGAAACCAGGTGTCCGCGAACATGTGAAACCAGGTGTCCGCGAACAGGTGAACTTATATTGTCCGACCTGTGGCAACCATTGCAAGAACATACAAAGACAAGTCCCCAGGAACATATGGGAGCGCGAAGTACATGTCAAAATAGGCAATTACGTCGAGCATCATTTTTGCACCAAATCGTGAATGGTCCTCATCTCTCCCATAAAACTAACTGAAAGCTTGAACGAGGCGTTGGATGTTGGAACACTGATCTAACAACTGTAAAGGTTTGAGAAAAAACAATGTAACTCCAAAATTTCAAAATAACGATCAGGAAAAGGAACCTCCCGTGCATCAGGTGTGATGATTACAACGCTATCTGGAAAGTGGACAAGCCTCTTTAACAATACCAATGATTCTGTAACACACGTGTGCTGTTAGGTTCGCCATGAGTAGCTCCTACTTGTTACAATAATGGTCAAAACTGGGAATCGGGTGGTCAAGATACATAAACCTAATCGTTGTTCATGCTTTCAATCACGGGTTTGTTGGTCCATAGTTATGTCTTTTGGTTATTCTGATTATTACTGTGACATAGCTGGAATATTGCTTGATTGCAGCACAAAACAACTTTAATAGTAATACTGTTTCGAGAGAAAACAGGTGACTACACACAGGCTTCTAACTATTTGTCCAGTTGTCACATTCGCAGCTAGACAAAAGTGGACGCATTTATGAACTATAATATTCCAATAGTATGTATCTGATTAACCGGCTGAAGAACGTATACACTCATGTCTGGAGATGGCTAAAAATGAAACACACAACAAATGGTCATTCGATACTGATGTGATTAATATGGGTTCTGTTTCGACCGAGGTTTGTCGGTTTTCCCGACTGTTTTCAGTCTAGTAATTTCAATATTTCCGGGTTGTTGTTTTTGTCAAAATCCATTTTTCAAGTGTATACTTTCTTTTACCTGGCATTTGATTTGCCCTTGCAACAGATGGCCTAAAGTTATACCCTTTGACTAAAAGTGAATAATGTGTATATTCTGTTTTCAGCTGATTTCAATTGAGAGCAAGCATCACCAGTCATTCCTCCTGCACAAGGCAGAAATCAGATGTGTCAAACGCATCAACGCATCCGGTGAGTAATACGCTTTATGGTCAGCTCTCATCTCACATTACATGAAAATACCAGCTTCTGGACCCGTGAAGATCCGGGTTAGAATTGATCTTCAGTAACCCATGCCTGTCGTAAGAGGCGACTAACGGGATCAGGTGGTCAGGCTCGCTGACTTGATTGGCACATGTTATCGTATCCCAATTGGGTAGATCAATGCTCATGTTGTTGATCACCGCCGCCATATAGCTGGAATATTGCTGAGTGCGGCGTAAAACAAAACTCACTCACTCACCAGCTTCTGATTGCTGTGACTGTAATCTTATGTGGATATACATCTATGAATACACAATGCCATTAAGAATATACATCGTTATTTTTTCTTAATATTTAACTTCCAGGTGTCATGCGGGGTGAGGTATTGCCTCCAATCTTAATTTCGTTGTACATAAATGATTTTGAACAATTTTACTATCAATAAATTGTTTATCCTGCGACTGTAAATTTCTCAGTATATTTCTGTTCACATAAGCAGATGACTTGTTTCGTGTCTCTGAATCAATCGAAGGCTTACATTGGTAGCTCTGTATTACACCAATGGGATTAGAAGTGAATGTTTCAGGATCTAAAGTGATGGTCTGGAAGGGTTCGCAAGGTAAAGAACGAGGACATGCAATCATAAAATGGGGATGGTGTGGAAATAGTATATTTTCTTGTTGAGGATTTTATCAACCTACAAAATGACAAAATTTACATGCTGTGACAAGCATCGTGCAGATCAAGGTGGAACGCCTTCATTCAAGCTGTATCGTGATGACGTGGTACTTGCCCTAAATACTAAGACAACGCTCTTTGATACATGAACTGCTGGAGTAAATTACTGATAATAGCACCTTCAAGTGATGTCAGAATAAATGTTTGATAACTTTGGTAATAATGAGTAGCCGTCCCTAGCATAATGTTTTCGTTAAATTAATTTGAGGAACTAACAAGGAATAGCATACAGTAAGAAGCCAAATATTCAGTTTCCCTAAGCGTGTGTTATACAAACCTCTTTTTTGATAATCACGTTTCACAACTGACTTGAAAACTGTAGTGACTGGTTTGTACAGAAAAAGAAGTTTCCATATTTGGACATTGTTCATGTCCTTGTAACAGAAACTAGACAATACCAGGCTTTAGAATTTGATAGAAAACGACATGATTACGTTTCAGACATAGAACATGAATTTCATTTTACACTATTATGTCGTTGTATTATGATCTCTGGACAAAGTATATCAAATAATATTACTGAAATACTTTCCGTAATTAAACTTGTAGACCGTTTTAATTTAAAGGATGTAAACTAATATCATGTTTGGATAAATTTCTCGGTAAAGTATGAAATTGACATTTTGACGTTTGATAGTTATGTTCCTCCACGACACGTGAATCCATATCATATATCCTGTTTCATATAGCTGTATCGCCTACAACTAATAAGGAGTGAAGGATATAACCGGATTGAATAACAGGCCTACATACACACGGTGAACAAATCATCAAACCTGAACTCATATACACCAAAACAGATTAAAAATCACTAAAATAGCAAATAAACTTCCAAAACTGCCACAATATCCTCTAAAACCGAAACAATACATCTGTAATGGAAGACTACTCGTTTGAAATGGAAACAAAACTCGCGTATCAGCTACAAGAGCGCGCGAGAACGGTCGCCGAGCGTACGTAACGGCATTCATAGCATCCCAACACGGCAGTCATAGCATCCCGAAAAGGCAAACAAATCGTCAAAGATGGCGGGGAGGGGAGACAAATAGGCTTGGGTACATGTTTTTCGACACTATGAGTTTAATCCTGACAATTTGATATCGGGATGTAGCGCATCAACCCCTATTGTAATAAAGCTTCAAACTTATGTCCATACTTCTCAGTGTCAGGCTTGCAATTCTGCACAATGTGGTCCCTCGTTCGACCGAACAGGGTTTGTTGTCAACATGCCGTGCTACAGTTTCTCTTCAGTTTTTGTAAATGAAGTATTCATAGCATCACAATCATCATTACTATATTTTAGTGATTTAAAAAGTTTACAACAACTTTGCACGGGATGAGTCGTAGGCTCAGTGACAGCTACAATGTTATCACATGGCCACCTTTATTCAGACTGTGTGTTTGTCATCACACACAGAGTCAATATCACTTTCACGTCAAATTGAAAAGGGACATGTTTACATCAGCTCAGACAGCTGTCTGAATGCCAACTGTTTGGTAAAACAAGTATGCACCCTTGCTCGATGGTGAATCAGTACTAAACAAACAAGAATTAGATGCAGATGTATCAGTATCGATATTACCTGTATCACGATCTCAGTAACATAGGATCAGGGTCCAGGCTACCACCGCTCCAGATGTATCATTATCGATATTACCTGTATCACGATCTCACTAACATAGGATCAGTGTTCAGGCTACCACCGCTCCAGATGTACCATTATCGATATTACCTGTATCACGATCTCACTAACATAGGATCAGGGTCCAGGCTACCACCGCTCCAGATGTATCAGTATCGATATTACCTGCACCACGATCTCACTAACATAGGATCAGTGTTCAGGCTACCACCGCTCCAGATGTATCCTTATCGATATTACCTGTATCACGATCTCACTAACATAGGATCAGTGTTCAGGCTACCACCGCTCCAGATGTATCATTATCGATATTACCTGTATCACGATCTCACTAACAAAGGATCAGTGTTCAATCTACCACCGCTCCAGATGTATCATTATCGATATTACCTGTATCACGATCTCACTAACATAGGATCAGTGTTCAGGCTACCACCGCTCCAGATGTATCATTATCGATATTACCTGTATCACGATCTCACTAACATAGGATCAGTGTTCAGACTACCACCGCTCCAGATGTATCATTATCGATATTACCTGTATCACGATCTCACTAACATAGGATCAGTGTTCAGGCTACCACCGCTCCAGATGTATCATTATCGATATTACCTGCATCACGATCTCACTAACATAGGATCAGTGTTCAGGCTACCACCACTCCAGATGTATCATTATCGATGTTTCCTGTATCACGATCTCAGTTTCATAGGATCAGTGTTCAGGCTACCACCGCTCCAGATGTATCATTATCGATATTACCTGTATCACGATCTCACTAACATAGGATCAGTGTCCAGACTACCACCGCTCCAGATGTATCATTATCGATATTACCTGCATCACGATCTCACTAACATAGGATCAGTGTTCAGGCTACCACCACTCCAGATGTATCATTATCGATATTACCTGCATCACGATCTCACTAACATAGGATCAGTGTTCAGGCTACCACCGCTCCAGATGTATCATTATCGATGTTACCTGCATCACGATCTCAGTTAACATAGGATCAGTGTTCAGGCTACCACCGCTCAGATGTATCATTATCGATATTACCTGCATCACGATCTCACTAACATAGGATCAGTGTTATCAGGCGATACCACCGATCTCAGATCAGTGTTCATACCACCACTTGTATCATCGATATTACCTGCATCACGATCTCACTAACATAGGATCAGTGTTCAGGCTACCACCGCTCCAGATGTATCATTATCGATATTACCTGTATCACGATCTCACTAACATAGGATCAGTGTTCAGGCTACCACCGCTCCAGATGTATCATTATCGATATTACCTGCATCACGATCTCACTAACATAGGATCAGTGTTCAGGCTACCACCACTCCAGATGTATCATTATCGATATTACCTGTATCACGATCTCACTAACATAGGATCAGTGTTCAGGCTACCACCGCTCCAGATGTATCATTATCGATATTACCTGCATCACGATCTCACTAACATAGGATCAGTGTTCAGGCTACCACCGCTCCAGATGTATTATTATCGATATTACCTGCATCACGATCTATCTCACTAACATAGTATCAGTGTTCAGGCTACCACCGCTCCAGTAAAAAATGAACGAATTCCCCCTTTCCATAAAAACAGATTGTATTTTATCGTAAGGATAACAGTAAAAAAAAAAACACTGCCCAAAGTTTCAATTTTCTCCTGTCTTGTAATCTTCCCTATTGTCGTTTTTTGTTTTGCTTGGTTTGGTTTTTTTTAGTGTTTTTGTGTTTTTTTGCCGATGCAATGTCTTTGATATCATGCTGGCGTTTAACATTACTACACGACTGGTGCCCAGTATACTGACTCCTTGTCTGCTTCCTTAATGTCGAGGGCGGTGGGGTAGTCTAGTGGTTAAAGCGTTGGCTCGTCACGCCGAAGACCCGGGTTCGAATCCCCACATGGATGAAGCCCATTTCTGGTGTCCCCGCCGTGATATTGCTGGAATATTGCTAAAAGCGGCGTAAAACCAAACTCAGTCAGTCAGTCAGTCCTTAATGTCGACGGCCAGCCAGGGTAACAAAAATACCAACTTTTTAATGTCATTGATTATGACGTGGGTATGGAACCACTAACCTTCCTCTGTATCGTCTCCTAGTTACGTCATCAAATCCAACAGCCTGGCTTTTGAGGGCTGTTGTCACCATGGCAACAAACTAATGGAGAATGAGATCAATTTTGGCTTCCATCTTTCCTGTTCCCGTGTAAAACTTTATCGACAATGGATATGACGTCACGGTTTTATCTCCAGGCTGTTATAACATAATTTTATATCGGTTGTGAGGTTTCCTGGTCCAATTGGCTTCCACACCGTAAGCCAAGATGGAACCCTGTGATTATCTTGCTTAAACAAGTTATGTCATCAGAAGATAATAGCAACATGGGCCAGTATCTCTTCAGCCCTTGAGAATCCTACAGCCTTTAACATAAATATCTTGTCCTTTCTCCAATCTAGGTTGTTTGTCTGGGATTTTTTATTTATTTATTTTATTTATATTGTTTTGCTCTTTGATCCTCGTAATTGAAAAGATTCATACTGGATAGAATGCATAACAGTTTCTCCAAGAAAAGATATTTCGATCTTCTAATGACTAATGAACGGAAGGGGGATTATATACTACCCATCAAAAGTGTAAATGTAGCCACTTACTTCAGTCAACTTTATCCTCGTGCAACCCATCTGCATAAGGTTTGCAGTTGGTCCCACAAGTTGTAGAGAAAATCATCTTCGATGTAACCATAAATGTATACACAACATATAGTGAGTTCTTTAAATGAGTCTAAACTTTTGATGGGTAGTATATTATCACACTGTTGACGCACACACAAACCCATCGTTACTCTCAATGACGTCATCTACTCTGAAGCTCTATAACTTCAACTTCTTTCTGGATAACATGTACTGATAATTGCAATTCTCTATTTGTCGAATATCTGAAACAAATTCTCGAACTTCAGATAACTCGACACGTGATTTGTTGCCACTAGAATTTCGAGTTAACTCGGGTCCACTACATTTTACGTAAATATACTTATCTCTACCCCTGAAAGCAGCACATAGGACTGTTTATTGCATGATGCATATGTCTTATTAAATCAGATTGGGACTTCGACATACATGGCGGCCAGTGGTGCCCTCCGGCTTGGGACCGACTCCTCTGCTGGGACAAAGCCCCTGCAGGACAGACGGTTCACCAGCGATGTCCCAACTACATCAGCGGTTTCGACCCTGACCGTAAGTACCTACACTTTACTAACTTACTTTGGATATGTCGAAGTCCAAGGACACTCAAAATGAGTTCATGCTGTCAGTAGTGATGTCCACGACTGTAGCGTTGATTTTTACTCCTATATCATCGAACAATATAATCGTAATTGTTTTGTTTCTTTGTGTGAGAGTCTGATTAAATACCTTTGCGCTTTTGTCGTGTGCAGAAATGACATAACATCAGGACGTTACCAGGTCATGTGATAAATCAGATCTTCCAGCCTATCGATATTGGTCAATGGCTTTCTCTGTAGTGGGCTGACACTGTTTCTGACAGGGGTACAGGATGTACCTGTGATTAAAGGAGTGTAAGGGATTCGTCACTGGTCTGTCGGAGAGTGGGGTAGTCTTGTGGTTAACGCGTTCGCTCGTCACGCCGAAGACCCAGGTTCAATTCTCCACATGGGTTCAATGTGTGAAGCCCATTTCTGGTGTTCCCTGCAGTGATATTGCTGGAATATTTCTAAAAGCGGCTTAAAACCAAACTCACTCACACAGACCGGCCACTAACATGCCACTGAGATAACGAGAGTGCAACCATTTAGTTTTCAGGATTAATTCCTAAATACATACAGCTCACAACAATATTCAATTCACTTCTTTCCCCTTCCAAGTTCGACTTCATCTCACATATAATTTATCTTATCACAGCACACAAATTCAGTTCAGTCGAGAAAAAGAAAAACAACTTGCAAAACAAATAAGTCATTTTTTACGCAAAGGAAAGACGTTTTTCGATTGTATGACCCTTGTAAACATACTTCTACATGAAGACTACGATTGCTCCAATTTCCCCTTCCTCAGCCTTGTGAATTACAACGTCATCAGTTTTTACATCTGAGGATGTTCATCCGTCTAACTCGTCGTGAAACAGGAAGGAGGCATTGCAATGGAGGCCTCGCTGAGAGGGGGCCATCAATCTAATCCTCGATCGCTCTTCTCGGGGCACGACATCGTGGCTTCTCTGAGATTAACGCTTAAGGGCAGTTGCAGATGTTGTTAGATTGATGCAGAACAGGTTATGAAACCGGAATGATGGACATGTCACTGAAATTACTTGATGAACATACGACCTAACCCGGGTTCATTAAGGAAATACATGAGCAAATCAATTGTTCTATGAACAGTGATAAGATGACATTTTCACTGATTTTCTACATTACATCAGTCAGCTTGTAGCATACTTGTAGTATAGAAATGTAGGTGGCGGTTTTTGGAGGGGGTTCACAAGACCGTTTTAGCAATAGGTGATGAAGTGATGTAAAATGCAAACTTAATATGGTGCATAAGCTTATTGCACTTAAATAACGACGTGCATGCTGGGGTCAGGCTGTGGTGTTGGGGGATGGGTTTGGGTTCAGACAAATACTTGTTTAACATGCTTCCCCACTTAGACACAGTCCTCACGAACATTCCGCTTAGTCAAGGTATTGTAGTCCTAGCCAACCAGTTCTGATTTTGTTCCCTTGGCGAATCATTTTTAAGGTATTTTGGAATGAGTGAGTGACTTTAGTTTTACGCTGCCTTTAGCAATATTCCAGCAACATCACGAAGGGGGACACCAGAATGGGCTTCACATATTGTACCCATGTAGAGAATCGAACCCGGGCCTTCTTCGTGACGAGCGACGCGTTAACCACTAGGTCACCCCGCCGCCCACGTATTTTGGAATGTCGGGGTCGGGGAGCGAACCACCAATCTTCTGCATGACGGCAGAGTCCGCTTAACCAATGACCGCAGACTTAAGTATACCGGCCATCCTCATTGACGCCAACCTAAAGATGTGGGTTAGAATTGGCCTTCACTAACCCATGCTTGTCATATGAGACGACTAATGGGATCGTGTGGTCAGACACGCTGACTTGATTGACACATATCATGGTATCCCGATTCGTTAGATCGATGGTGATGATGTAAATCACTGGACTGTCTGATCCATCTCTTTAAAAACTAAAACCAAAATGCATACACCTTCATACAATTGCTCCTTCGTGTTTTCCCGTGGTTTAAGGGATTACAAATATTTGCTGTCCTACATCCACTGCTCAAGCTTCCGATGAATTGTGTTATATCCATAATCGGTTTAATCCGTCCAAATTGTCTGCATGATATTGATTGTCTTTGTGAATACATGGTGCTCACATTGGTAGTGTGTTCCTCCTTAGAAACACTTCATAAACATTATATCGATGAAAACTCACACGCAGCATTTTTAGTAAACACAATAAAACAAATACAGCTATTTTTAGTCCAGATTGTGTATTATTGGTGTTCTATATTTTATTCATAAATCGATAAAAAACAGAATAAGTTGCATTTCTTTTATTCATCATCAAAGAATACAAATAGTTTATACAGGAAATGTAAAACATATAGCAGTGCTAAAATAGACACAACCTGAATCAAGGATATTTCGATTGGGCTTCCGAGAGTGCTGAAGATGCTCGCCTCTTTGCGAATACCTGCCGTCATCACTGATTTTCAGCGATTCATTTATTTTTTTACTATTAACAGATATTTTGCCTTACGCCCGGTGTAGAATCTAGTTATCCTCTAGCTTTGACGGCCGCCTCTGTGTTGTAGTGGTTAGAGCGTCCGCCCGGAGAGCGAAAGTCGCAGGTTCGATCCCCGCCCGCGTCATACCAAAATACGTTAAAATATGGTACTTCTTGGTCCCTGCCTGGCGCTCGGCATTAATGGATACTACAAGGACTGATCGGCTCGGAGTCAGTATAATGTGTCTGAGTGGGGTATTCATGCTTAACTGAGGCAAGGCATCTCAGTAAGCTAGTACAGTAAAACCAGCTTAAATCTGGGCTAGTACAAGCCGCCACACATACACACGCATGCACGTCGTCATATGAGCGAAATATTCTTAAGTACGACGGTAAACCCCATTTCACCCCACCTCTACCTTTGACGTGTTCCCTTTACAAAATACCAGCATAGTTGATATTGAAGTAACCTCACTTTTTAACTATCTTGAAATATCTTTTTAAAAAAAGGAATTTTTTTTACCTCGTCACCAGTTCGTTCCAAAGCAACAAACGCCTCTAGAAACTCAATAATCGTTTGAAAACATTTTGTTCTGTATTCATTGTATTTTCAAGGAAGAAATTGAAACTAAAAAGGACTATTTAAAAATAATTATCATCTATAAGTTAGAAAAATATAACTTTTTCTGTCTATGGTTTCAGACTATGCTGAGAGAAGCTGCACTGAGAACGGAACATGGTGGTTTAATCCGGACGTCAACAAGACATGGACCAACTTCTCACAGTGCAGTCCAACCTTGAACCTCGAGAACCACGAGGTATTCAATCTCTGGCAGCATTGTAGATAGTATTGGTTGTGGGAAGTATGGTAAGGTGCACCCTTATACTCTCTAGTAGGGTTGTATATGGTATTGGTTGTCATGGTAGCTGGTTGTTGGAAGTGTGGTGTGGTGCACCCTTATACTCTCTAGTAGGGTTTTATATGGTATTGGTTGTCATGGTAGCTGGTTGTTGGAAGTATGGTAAGGTGCACCCTTATACTCTCTAGTAGGGTTGTATATGGTATTGGTTGTCATGGTAGCTGGTTGTTGGAAGTATGGTAAGGTGCACCCTTATATTCTCTAGTAGGGTTGTATATGGTATTGGTTGTCATGGTAGCTGGTTGTTGGCAGTAAGATGAGGTGCACCCTTATACTCTCGAGTAGGGTTGTATATGGTATTGGTTGTCATGGTAGCTGGTTGTTGGAAGTGTGGTGAGGTGCACCCTTATACTCTCTAGTAGGGTTGTATATGGTATTGGTTGTCATGGTAGCTGGTTGTTGGAAGTATGGTAAGGTGCACCCTTATACTCTCTAGTAGGGTTGTTTATGGTATTGGTTGTCATGGTAGCTGGTTGTTGGAAGTATGGTACGGTTCACCCTTATACTCTCTAGTAGGGTTGTATATGGTATTGGTTGTCATGGTAGCTGGTTGTTGGAAGTGTGGTGTGGTGCACCCTTATACTCTCTAGTAGGGTTGTATATGGTATTGGTTGTCATGGTAGCTGGTTGTTGGAAGTGTGGTGCGGTGCACCCTTATACTCTCTAGTAGGGTTGTATATGGTATTGGTTGTCATGGTAGCTGGTTGTTGGAAGTGTGGTGTGGTGCACCCTTATACTCTCTAGTAGGGTTTTATATGGTATTGGTTGTCATGGTAGCTGGTTGTTGGAAGTATGGTAAGGTTCACCCTTATACTCTCTAGTAGGGTTGTATATGGTATTGGTTGTCATGGTAGCTGGTTGTTGGAAGTGTGGTGAGGTGCACCCTTATACTCTCTAGTAGGGTTGTATATGGTATTGGTTGTCATGGTAGCTGGTTGTTGGAAGTGTGGTGAAGGTGCACCCTTATACTCTCTAGTAGGGTTGTATATGGTATTGGTTGTCATGGTAGCTGGTTGTTGGAAGTGTGGTAAGGTGCACCCTTATACTCTCTAGTAGGGTTGTATATGGTATTGGTTGCCATGGTAGCTGGTTGTTGGAAGTGTGGTGAGGTACACTCTGTATGGTAGTTTTGTAAATAATATTCGTTGTTATGGCAACGGTTTGTGGGAAATATGGTCATATACAAATACCGTATTTCCTCTAATAAACCCCTGGAATAAAGCAGCGGGTAAAGAAATAAGTGCCGGGCCTCTAATAAGCGCCCTCATGAACACAGAATGAACCATGTATAAGTAGTAGCAACACCAGTGGTGGTGGTGGTAGTGTATTGGAGTAGTAGTAGTAGTAGTAGTAGTGGTAGTAGTAGTGGTAGTAGTAGTAGTAGTAGTAGTAGTAGTGGTAGTAGTAGTCGTGGTGGTATCGGTAGTAGAGGTAGTAGTAGTAGTAGTAGTCGTGGTGGTAGATGTAGTAGTAGTAGTGGTAGTAGTAGTAGTGGAGGTGGTACTGTTAGCGATAGTAGTAGTAGTAGTAGTCGTGGTGGTATCGGTAGTAGAGGTAGTAGTAGTAGTGGTTGTAGTAGTAGTGGAGGTGGTACTGTTAGCGATAGTAGTAGTAGTAGTAGTAGTAGTGGTAGTCGTAGTAGTAGTAGTAGTAGTGGTAGTAGTAGCAGTAGTAGTAGTGGTAGTAGTGGTAGTAGTAGGAGTAGTAGTAGTAGTAGTAGTAGTGGTAGTAGTAGTAGTAGTAGGAGTAGCAATACAATCACATGTTCTCCTCTGTTATCCAGCCGGGCGCCAACAGACTGGAGCTGCTGTACCGGGTGGGGTACGGGATCTCCCTCGGCTCCCTCATCATCGCTGTCGTCATCATGTTGTGCTGCAGGTAACACATGTTCACATATCCCTGGTTGGGGCCCAATACTCACAAAGCGTGTCCACATCAACATTGTGTATAGGGTAGCATCAATTTAATATAGGTTAAGTTTAAAATGGAATTATTATTATATTTTATTGTTATATTCTGTTGATTTTAATCATTTGGACGCTCTTATGATACAACAGAACCTTCATTAAGTTAATGACGTGCTAATAACACCACGACGTCATTAAAACGTTGGTACAACAGAATTCAATGATACATTAGTTAATGACACGTTAATACTTCATTAAAGTTTAATACAACCGTGTCCTGTAGAACAAGTAAGTATATGGATGACAACTTTTTAGAACTTACGTACATTCTTACTTGAAAACGATACAAGAACCTGTATCGAAACGTCGTGCTCTAGAATAAAAGAAGTTGTCATCCATATATACTTGTTCTACAGGACACGGTTGTTATCCATATACTTACTTGTTCTGTCTGACTTCCAACTTCTAAAATGCCACTCAAATAAGTCAACCGTGTCCTGGTCAATATTATTTATTTATATTTTATTAGAATATGTGCAATGGTTGTACTCATTCAGCAGCAATGTCGCCGTCGAGGTTACGGTGAAAACTGATCATGAAATATGACGGACACTACCGGACAAAACACAGTATGCAGTTGGAAGTGACCAACCGCAAACACGAGTTATCAAAACGTTACTTCCTGTGAAGATCAGGGTTAGAATTGAGTTTTAGCATCCCATTCTTCTCATGAGAGTGTCTGGACCAGACTCCAGTATTTACAGATGGCCATCATATAGTTATAATCGTGTTGAGTGCGGCGTTAAAGAAAACGAAACATTGTCAACCAAACGTAGCTTTATTTAAAACATACGCTGAAACACAGCAAAGATTTAGGTCCGAAACACCACAATAATACCCGTTTAAATCCATCAGCATCGAATACACGTTTCTCATTAGCTGTATGTTTAACCACCATCACATATAGATGCATGAACGAAGCTTAATGTCGGTACTTTTGTAGCACAACATATTATTTTTAGCGAAAGTTCTTGTTGATTCGAATAGGTTTTCGTTGCTTCAACTCTTTTTTCGTTGCTTCGAGTATATTTTCGTAACTTCAAAGATGTTTTCGTTACTTCATATATTTTGTCGTTGTTTCATTTTTTTTTACATTTGAACTTTCGAGTATATATTCGTTTACTTTCTTTCAAAAGTTTGAAGGAACGAGAAAATTCTCGAATCAACGAGATATGAATCGAAGTAACGAAAAGATAATTGACGTAACGAGAAAATACTCGTAGGAACAAGTCAACACTTGAAATTTTTGACAGAAACGTGAAGTAACAAGAAAATACTCGAAGCAACGAGTAAATAATCGAAGCAGCGAAAATTGTCGCTGGAAAACTATGATACAGAAATAGAAGCATTAGGCTTTGGTATGTACGTTCTTTTACTCGGCACTTTATAAAGGTATACCCTGACATTTCTGTTTCACTACTAAGATATTCTCGTCTATATTTTGCAGGCGGCTCAACTCCAAGAGCAACACGCTCCATATCAATCTATTCTTTGCCTTCATTCTACGAGCCTCGATTTCATTCATGAAGGGGGCGCTGTTTGTCCGCGAGGTCGGCCTTGAGAAGGATGTGAGAGAGAAGGAAGACGGCACATTGGAGTTTATAGAAGAGGGGTCGGTCAGTACACTTCCTGCTCTGTGAAGTATTGTGTTGATGTGTTGTCTTATCGTCATAGTGAGGAGGGAGGAGTTTTGACAAAGACACCAGCTTGTTGAAGGATGTATAGAGTAAAATATAAACCCAGGATTACATCGCTTATAAAACATTTTCAACCAAGCATATTGAAGAAAATAATCAAAAAGTTATATTGGTAACGAAAACACGTTAAAAACTCCCTCGTATTCTGAAATCTAAAAAGAGCTAATAAGCATTTTCCACCGAAACGTCGCTCTATGCAACAAACAAGATGTTGTTTTGCACAAACGTTCGTTAATTTATGAGTTGACATTGCATGATAAGCCATGTTTAGTGGAAAAAGATATATTTCATTTGGAATGTGGCACATACAAGACCATAAACTGAATATGTGCATAATAGTAAACCGAATATGTGCTAAATATGTAAATTGAATTGGCATGGAAACTGAATGTCTTGCATTGACCTTTGTAATTGTTGTAGGATGGATGTAATTCATGGAATATATTTTAACAATGAATGTAGTATTACAATACGTTTTTTCGTTTTTCCTTTAAGTTTGTCTTTTTCTATACTTGACGGATGTCTTAAAATGACAGTAACATCATGTTGGCTCCCTTTCCAGTTTTCTCCAAGTCTCGATCGCTGTGCCAAGATTGGCTTTCTTAGCGCTATACTGCTATTTGCGCTCTGAAATGGGACGAACTGACACTTGGTACTTTCATTTGTTGAACTACTTCATCCACTTGAGGCTATCTCATTTTGTGAATTCTGTAAAACGAGTAAATCTGAAAATTACTTCAATGTTGTGTTGATTAATGCAACGTAAAGAACGAAAGTGGCGTACGTCTCCCCACTATGATGTCACAGCTGCAGCTTAGCCGAAGCTCTGATAACAATATGCATATGTGTGGGTCAGGGTAGTTGTTTGTTGATTGTCAGATAAATGAAAATCCATATAATTTTATTTGTGTGTACACGTGTAATGAGTATGACTAGTTTTGATTCAATACACGTCCGTTAAGATGGCGGGATGAGACCCCACTTGAAGTGTCCTTGTCCAATGTACGGATGGGCCGAGATTCAGGAGACAACTTGTCACTGTTATCAGCATGTTATATGCGGTTCTCATTTCACATCGGTTCATTTTTGTATGTGTTTAAGATAATGTTCAAAAAGCTGCTGGGTTTTTAACGAAGCCGAATAGTCACCGTTCTGTGGGCTTCCATTGATATTTGTCAGTGGTACGAAGGCCACAGAGAGTATTTCGAGGGGTGACCGCGTTCCGCAGCTTGACTCCTTGGGTATTTAGGGTTTTTGTCCTCACCCACAGGGTTTACACGTGTGGCGTGCTGTCTCCTTCAGCTACTGACGTTGTTAGGAACATGAATGTATACTCGGCATTGAACGGGTACCCGGCAGGATTAAATGGTAATTTGAATACAGTGGCAATTCTAGTTAATAAGTTCATTAAAAAACAGAGCCTAATTATTTACTTCAAAAACATAATATCAACTATGGGTTTTTTGTCAACTGACTTTGTTAGGAACATGAATGTATACTCGACATTGAATGGGTACCAGGAAGGATTAGATGGCAACTTGAATACAGCAAACATATCAACAATGTATTTTTGTCTGAAGTGTAATATTTAATTCCAACGTGTTCATTGATAAGGTCAGGGTTTGAATTGATCTTCAGTAACCCATGTTTGTCGTGAGAGGCGACTGACGGGATCGGGTGGTCAGGCTGGCTGACTTGGTTGACACATGTTATCGTATCCCAATTGGGTAGATCAATGCTGATGCTGTTGATCACTGGATGGTCTGGTCCAGACTCAATTCTTTACAGACCGCCGCCTAATAGCTGGAATATTGCTGAGTGTGGCGTTAAACAACAGCCAAACCAAACCAATTCATTGATAAAAATCTCACGAACATAAACTTCAGATGTCAAGACCTCTTAAAAAGTATGTTACGTTCTTCAGTAGCATCGGCTAAGGTCGTCCAGAAGTCATTTCATGCTGTCCTTTCGATCAATGGGCGTTAAGTGCCTTAGGTACTATGAAATTATAAAGATAAAAGGCTTCAACTATTTAATTAGTAGCAATACAAGATTCCGGTACTGACGTTACATCAAAACGAATGGAAGATGTTACCGGAACTGGCTTCAGGTAGGGCGGAGTAGGTTGACGCTTCTTTGATAGTTTCTTTCAACAAGCGGAAGTTGGAATATCGGAGAAGAAAGCGGTCATAGTTTCATGCCCGACTACCATCACTTCAGTGAAGAAGTCGACGTATCTGAACACGTACATCAAACGACACTTTTATGTTCGATAACGTCAACTGAGATCAACGTACTTCGAAGTGGAAACAAACCTTCACATGTAGTTCCTTGATGTCAATGGCGCCGAAAGGCCTCTCAACATCTCTTGATCATTCCGCAGTTACACAATTATGAAACATTATTTCTGACAAGGGCTAGCATACAGGCAGTCTAGACCGTATCCACTTAAGTCAGTTTTCATTAGATTCTGATTCATTTATTTTTCATTTTCATTTGTTGATTGTTGTAATAGATTGAATTGGTCTTATCACGAAATATGCCCGTAGGTATTTGAGGTGGAACGTTTACCTGTAACATTAAGGTAGATGTATCTATGATTCGGTGAAGATGGCTGGTGGTCAGAATGCCGGTAGACAGGACTGACTGACTGACTGAGTTTGGTTTTACGCCGCTTTTAGCAATATTGCAGCAACATCACGGCGGGGGACACCAGAAATTGGCTTCATACATTGTACCCATGTGGGGATTCGAACCCTGGTCTTCGGCGTGACGAGCCAACGCTTTAACCATTAGGCTACCCCGCCGCCCCACCGGTAGACAGGACATGCTTATCTATGTCGTGAACACCCGGTGTCTTTACTGGGTTTCGTTCATCCGTTATCAATATTTTCAGTCATACTATCACTTTCAAGCTTATTGAAATCTGTTCCGGTAGATAATTGAGACTGATGATGATGATGATGATGATGATGATGACAACGAAGATGATTTGGAGGTTTAACGTGCGCTCTCAGACATAATGCGCATGCGACTGGTTACTTGAATCGGTATTTTATAATTGTTGACTGGTTGACTGTGTGTCGACGACGTGGGTCCGTGTCTCTCTGTATTAAGGTTTTGAATATCTGATGTAAGCATCATGTCACTTAAATATCGGATGCAGTATATACAGGTAGGACGATGTAGCCATTACTACCGTAAGCTGATTGGACACAAGATCACTGAATATCGCCAGCACCGGAAATTACTCTTTCGTTGTGGATAATGAATACATTTGTTTGCTGCGTGGGATAACGATCATCTGTTGTAGAGCGTCGATGCCCACGGCTTACCAGCAACTGATGTCCAGACATTTTGGTGTGACACGTTACATTTCATAACATTAATTACCAAGTGGATCTAATCAGAAGAACAAATCGGTGTTGAACGAGTTTCAGAAATGGGATAGGGTTACCGGTTGCCCCAAGTTATTCCCCGGGTTATGTGTGGCACACTGAACAGGAAGGACAAACAGAACTGAAATTATTTAATGTAACCCCTATACGTCTTACTGTGGATTTCCGTGAAAGTAATATATGAACAAATCGTGTCATCGTTCTTTGAAGACAGATAGGTTGACAGTTTTGCTGATTTACTATCGTACATCTAAGAGTACTCGTGGCCTACTTCCAGTTTAAAGGCTATAAAGTGAATCGGAGTGGTCTCCTGTCAGTAGGTCGTGAGGAGACGTGACGAAATGTCTGTTTGTCTGTCTATCAGTCTGTCCGTCTGTCTGTCTGTCTGTCAGTCTTTACGTGTTTATATTAAAATATATTGGTGTAACCCCTATACAACTATATATAGCTATCGTGTATCTTGTAAATCTCACACTCTTTGTCTCTCCCTCTACCTCTACCTCTCTCTCTCTCTCTCTCTCTCTCTCTCTCTCTCTCTCTCTCTCTCTCTCTCTCTCTCTCTCTCTCTCTCTCTCTCTCTCTCTCTCTCTCTCTCTCTCTCTCGCTTTCTAGAAGCATCCGCCGTCGGATCTACGAAGCTAACATTTAACATTTCGCTTTCTATATTCCGTATAACTTACCTTTCTTTCTGTAATCAATAATAATGTGTTGACTACACCATCCCATGTATCATGTAACACGTACACCCTTTTCTATCACATGGGATGAGCAATAACCTATAACCTATCCTATAACCTATCAGTGGGCACTCACGCGTAAGCGCACTCACTCTCTCTGTCTCTCTCTCTCTCTCTCTCTCTCTCTCTCTCTCTCTCTCTCTCTCTCTCTCTCTCTCTCTCTCTCTCTCTCTCTGTGAGATAGGAGAGAGGAGAGAGTGTGAGCGAGTGCCCACGGATACGGTTCATCACGTGATTGCTTGATACAATTGTAACAGCTGAGTATTATGATTATCTGAAAATAACTCGGGCGGGTTACAACACCATCACGATCTTTAAAGTAATCTAACGACAAACATACATAGAGCGGACAGCCACCCCTCAAGTTGTCGTTTTAGGGGTAAGAGTAGGGTTTGGTTTGTTATTATTTTGGTCTCGGTCGCCTTCAGGGTTTGTTTTGTTATTATTTTGGTCTCAATGATGCCTCCATGACGTACGCTGTGATATATAAATGTATCTCACGAGGTTGAGCAGCCAAAGAGTCTATAAGACTCCATAATTCAGTGTATTGTTCGAACACACCCTTGAGCTTCTGCTACGTCAGTCGCCTGCTGGGAACCAGCCACAAGATGAAGCAACAAGGAATACTTGTGTGGGGGAAATAGCAACATAGAATGACGACTCAATATACATATTTCGCCCACAGGCGAGAAATTAAATATAGCTATCTGAATTAGATAAATAAATTAAAATGTGTTGAATTACGTGTCATTGTGCTTGCAGTATTAACTTCATACATTTGCAAACTTGACATGAGTTTCAAGCAAATGGATATGTTATCGCCCTCGAGCGAGTTATTTAACTGAACGTATAATGAGTTGTAATGGTTCTTGTAAACATATCGTTATGAGTTTGCAAAACCAGATCCTGAGTGCTGAGCACGGAGTAATACTCCCGGCATGTGCACATAGAGTAATGGCTTTCAAGAATATATATTGCACGAGTTATATGTAATTATGGATGTAAGTTGTGAACAAATTGGTTTCATCATTTAAAGTGTATTCTTTCTCACAGGCTTTATGGATATGGCGCCTCAATTCTTAATAGATTGAGCGTACAAGAAACATGTCTTCGGGTTTGCTGTACATTAGGCAGACATGCCGTGATACAGTTGATAAACCACACTCACTCACTCACTCCACTGTTCACCCGAAACTCACTCACTGTACCATTTACCCATAACTCACCCACTCACTCACTCAACCGTCCACCCAAAACGCACTCACTCACTCCACCATTCACCCAAAACTCACTTACACACTCCACCGCTTACCCAAAACTCACTCACTCACTCACTCACCATCAAATCAAAACTCATTCACTCTCTCAATCGTTCACCACTCACTCACTAACTCACATCCCCGACCGCGTCATACCAAAAGACGTTAAAATATGGTACTTGTTGGTCCTTGCCTGGCGCTCGGCATTAATGGGTACAACAAGGACTGGTCGGCTTGGTGTCAGTAAAACGTGTCTGAGTGGGTTATTCATGCTTCACTGCGGCATGGTATCTCAGTGGGCTAGTACTATAAAACCAGCTTACGTCTGGGCTAGTACAAGCAGGCGCACATACACATACACACGCATGCACGTCGTCATATGAGCGAACTTTTCTCAAGCACGACGTTAAACCCAATTTCATCTCACCTCACTAACTCACTGTTCACTCAAAACTCACTCACTCATTCCACCACAAACTCATTCACTCACTCAAGCGTCCACACAAAACACACTCTCTCACTCACTCAACCGTCAACTCAAAACTCACTCACTCAATCGTCCACCACATAGTCACCCACTCAACCGTCCACCACTCTCACTCACTCACTCACCACTCACCCACTCATCCATTCACTCACTAACCCACTTATCCATTCACTCACTCACCTACTCACTCACTCACTCACTTGTGTCGCCTGTCGTAATAATTCATTTTTTAGGGAACATACAAAATGTACTTCAAACAACAGACTCGTAGACTCATCTTCTTAATCTGCACACAAACATCTCGTATCTTCCATAACATCCTCTTCGAGTGTATTACAATCCCACGAAGCGCCAGACAATTATCTCCCCAAATGAATCCATAGAAGCGATGTGATATTACTAAGGAATTCACGACAAGTCTAGACACAAGCTAACGTGATTGTGGCATCAATTCCAGACAAATGAATTGCAATGTTTTCAGTCTGCGTATGTCAAAATTCCTTACCATTGTTTCTATGACTTTTGAAAAATATATGATGCCGTTTGAAAGACAAAGTGTTATTTACAAGGCAAGCATTTTCCAGAAATATTAATCTTGCTGCTCTCGTATTCAATATTTCTACAACGCCACGGGCTTAACGCCATCAACACACGTATCAGCAATATGGTCGCTTGTTTTAGTGTGTTACTTCATACATACACACTGAATTTTCCCTTATTCGGAAGGGCTGTGGGATAGCCTAGTGGTTACAGCGTTATCATGTAACGCCGAAGACCCAGGTTCGAGTCCAAAATTGGTACAATTGTGAAGTCCATTTTTGGTGTCCACCGACGTGATATTGCAGGAAAGTTTGTTAAATGCGGCGTAAAGTTTTATTCACTCATCGATTGTAATGTGATTAGCTCCGGGTAAGCCTGTATCACCATTTGAAGTGATGTTCTCTTGTGACGTCGTCATGACTGTCCCAGTATTGTCTTCTTGTACGATCAGTAGGGATAAGCCTGTATCACCATTTGAAGTGATGTTCTCTTGTGACGTCGTCATGACTGTCCCAGTATTGTCTTCTTGTACGATCAGTAGGGATAAGCCTGTATCACCATTTGAAGTGATGTTCTCTTGTGACGTCGTCATGACTGTCCCAGTATTGTCTTCTTGTACGATCAGTAGGGATAAGCCTGTATCACCATTTGAAGTGATGTTCTCTTGTGACGTCTTCATGACTGTTCCAGTAATGTCTTCTTGTACGATCAGTAGGGATAAGCCTGTATCACCATTTGAAGTGATGTTCTCTTGTGACGTCTTCATGACTGTTCCAGTAATATCTTCTTGTACGATCAGTAGGGATAAGCCTGTATCACCATTTGAAGTGATGTTCTCTTGTGACGTCGTCATGACTGTCCCAGTATTGTCTTCTTGTACGATCAGTAGGGATAAGCCTGTATCACCATTTGAAGTGATGTTCTCTTGTGACGTCTTCATGACTGTTCCAGTAATGTCTTCTTGTACGATCAGTAGGGATAAGCCTGTATCACCATTTGAAGTGATGTTCTCTTGTGACGTCTTCATGACTGTTCCAGTAATATCTTCTTGTACGATCAGTAGGGATAAGCCTGTATCACCATTTGAAGTGATGTTCTCTTGTGACGTCTTCATGACTGTTCCAGTAATATCTTCTTGTACGATCAGTGGGGATTAGCCTGTATCACCATTTGAAGTGATGTTCTCTTGTAACGTCTTCATGACTGTTCCAGTAATGTCTTCTTGTACGATCAGTAGGGATAAACCTGTATCACCATTTGAAGTGATGTTCTCTTGTGACGTCTTCCTGATTGTCCCAGTAATGTCTTCTTGTACGATCAGTAGGGATAAGCCTGTATCACCATTTGAAGTGATGTTCTCTTGTGACGTCTTCCTGATTGTCCCAGTAATGTCTTCTTGTACGATCAGTAGGGATAAGCCTGTATCACCATTGGAAGTGATGTTCTCCTGTGACGTCTTCATGATTGTCCCAGTAATGTCTTCTTGTACGATCAGTAGGTGTGTGTGATCTTCAGGAACGTGTGTTTGAGCACTGGAAGCGCCGTCTTCTTGTAACGATCTCATGTACGTTTATTGCAGTATTTGGAGTGCCGCCATCTTGTTACGAGCCTCATGTACGTCTGTTTCAGCATTTGCAGTGCCGTGTTCTTTTTTTAATCCTCATCTCTGTCAATTCCAGTAATGGGAGAGACAACTTCTTTATATGATCCTCATGTACGTTTGTTTCAGCATTGGGAGTGCCATCGTCTTTGTATGTTCCTTATGAACGTCTGTTTCAGCATTGGGGTGATCCTCGTGTACGTCTGTTTCAGCATTGGAAGTGCCATCGTCTTTGTATGTTCCTTATGAACGTCCGTTTCAGCATTGGGGTGATCCTCGTGTACGTCTGTTTCAGCATTGGGAGTGCCATCGTCTTTGTATGATCATCATGAACGTCCGTTTCAGCATTGGGAGTGCCATCGTCTTTGTATGATCATCATGAACGTCTGTTTCAGCATTGGGAGTGCCATCGTCTTTGTATGATCATCATGAACGTCTGTTTCAGCATTGGGAGTGCCATCGTCTTTGTATGATCATCATGAACGTCTGTTTCAGCATTGGGAGTGCCACCTTCTTGTAACTATCTTCCTGTACGTCTGTTTCACCATTTGGAGGGCAACCTTCTTGTAACTATCTTCCTGCACGTCTGTTTCAGCATTGGGAGAGCCGGCTTCTTATAATGATCTTCATGTATGTCTGTTTCAGCATTGGGAGTGCCGCCTTATTGTAACGATCTTCATGTATTCCATCTGTGTGAGTCAGCTATGGATCTTCATGGAGGGTCTGTATCTCCACAACCTCATCTACAGGACTCTATCCACGGAGAGGAGAGGTGTCAAGCCCTACATATTCCTTGGATGGCGTGAGTACCATAATGTCACTTAGTATGGTATTGCAGGCGATTTACACGTCCAATTATAACAAACATGTCACAGTTGCTGACTATTACGTTACTCCATTATAGTCAGCAACATTCCAGCTTTGTCACAACGTAGAAATGAGCAGTACACCTCAGAAGAAGAAAACAGCTCCATAATCGTAGGGTTAGAGCACCTTTCTAAAAATATGTTTAAAGTTACAGTTATAGAGCAATAGTCTACTATATTACAGCAATGTCACAACGCAGGAGTCAAATCAAATTAATGTCACAACGCAATTGTCAACAACACAAATTAATGTCACAACGCAATTGTCAACAAAACAAATTAATGTCACAAGTCGATCTGGCGTCAGCGTTAACAAAAAATGTAACAACGCAATAATACAAGAGATATTACGTCAATGCAACTACGTCAGATACGTTACGTCAATGTAACAACGTCAGGTACGTTACGTCAATGCAACCACGTCAGCTACGTTACGTCAATGTATCAATTCAGCTACGTTACGTCTATGCAACCACGTCAGCTACGTTACGTCAATGTAACAACGTCAGCTACGTTACGTCAATGTAACCACTTCAGATACGTTACGTCAATGTATCAATTCAGCTACGTTACGTCCATGCAACCACGTCAGATACGTTACGTCAATGTAACAACGTCAGGTACGTTACGTCAATGCAACCACGTCAGCTACGTTACGTCAATGTATCAATTCAGCTACGTTACGTCTATGCAACCACGTCAGATACGTTTCGTCAATGTAACAACGTCAGCTACGTTACGTCAATGTAACCACTTCAGATACGTTACGTCATTGTATCAATTCAGCTACGTTACGTCCATGCAACCACGTCAGATACGTTACGTCAATGTAACGTCAGCTACGTTACGTCAATGCAACCACGTCAGCTACGTTTCGTCAATGTAACGTCAGCTACGTTACGTCAATGCAACCACGTCAAATATGTTACGTAAATGTAACAACGTCAGCTACGTAACGTCAATGTAACCACTTCAGCTACGTTATGTCAATGTAACAACATCACGTACATTACGTCAATGCAACAACGTCAGATACGTTACGTCAATGCAACCACGTCAGCTACGTTACGTCAATATATCAATTCAGCTACGTTACGTCAATGTAACCACGTCAGAGACGTTACGTCAATGTAACGTCAGCTACGTTACGTCAAGGTATCAATTCAGCTACGTTACGTCAATGCAACCACGTCAGATACGTTACGTCAAGGTAACAACGTCAGCTACGTTACGTCAATGTAACCACGTCAGATACGTTACGTCAATGTTACAACGTCAGTTATCAGCAATAACAAACACAGTACATATCAGTACATCATACTGTGAGTTGAATTCACCCTAGATGGCTTCGCCGGGGAAGATATTCGTGTTGTCTTATATATAAGTTTAATCTAAGCCGACAGTCTGGACACAGTTACAAAGGTTACAGCAGCATAATCTTCTAGTGTGTCTCAACCAATAACTGGAGTTGACATGAAGGCTGACTATTTCCACAAAAGATTAGACACCATAGTCAACAACGAAGCCTCGGTTCCTGGGTGGCTGAAGGCCAGATTAAACCTATTTTAAAAACGTGACCTTTTCGTGCCACAGGACGTCCATCTAAGACTGGTATCGAAGGTTGCCAGAAATACTCACTATCCATGGTGAACCCGAGTTTTATTACTCGCCCGTGGATGATACTGTAGTATAATATTTTTACGGCAATATTACACAAGTGTAATACCGCTAGACATATTATTAGTTACATGGTGTTTTGAAAGGGTGTGGGGGACTGTAAGACCCTTGTAAATTCCGTATTTCCTGTGGCGCAGAATTTACAAGGGTCTTGCAGTCCCATACACCCTTTCAAAACACCGTATAGATTCGTATACTGTTGTCAGGCAAGTGGAAAGCAAGTGGCAAGCATGAGTATCTTGCCTTTGTCACCCTTCGCTGTCCCCATGATTTCAAATCTGCTGATATTTTTATCCTTTGATTTGTTTCATGTTCAGCTAGTGATTGATAAATGTCATTTTCCTGTTTCAATAAATTAAAACATCTACGTAGATCAGATTGTCTCATCTTACAAGAGGACAAGTATCATCTCCGTAGATTTAGAAGAGATTAAGAAATAAATTTTACGGAAAGTATAACAGTGCTAAAAGTAGAATGTCATGTGCGCTTCATGTTTTCTTTGTGAAATATCTCCTTTTCAGCGAATGACTGATTAGTTCCTTTCACGTTTCAGTCTTGCCTTTCACATTCCTTATACCCTGGGTCGTCGTCAAATATGCTCTGGACAACCATTTGTAAGTACACAGAAAACCCTCTTAGTCCAAACCTCGATTACCCGGACATCGCGTTTTCCGGACGTACATTGCTAGTAGTTTTAAATCAGGAGAAAAATTCACGTGGAAAACAATATATACTTATATGAAGAGATATTATTTAATTAATTACTAAGAAGTCAATTAAATTTGAAGATTACTTAAAATTATAGATTTATGAAAACATTTAAGTCATATGCTTTTAACTTCGGGCTAAAACTATCACATAGAATCAGATACAACTAACGTTGATCATCCGAAATAGGCTGTAAATTATGAAAATAGTGCTACGATGAAATTATTACAGAGAATTCGAGTTCCCCTTCCTATCATTATACCGAAAATGTTTTCTGCATATACTAGCATGTATCTCTATTGTTTGGTCTTATTCGATGTACAGACAACTAGATACGGAATTGTAAAATGGTACGGATTAAACAGCACAAGTCACGATGCAATGGAAATAATATGAGGTGCAAGGCTTTGGGTTTGACCTTTAAGACACAATCTCACCCGTTTTCGACAATAATGTTACGTTGCATTAATTCATTTAAACTATTTAACAGTAATCTAAATGCGTAATTTTCGAGGGAATGAATTATATGATAGCTTTCCAGAGGGCTGATAGTAAGTATTATTGAAGAGATGAATTATTTATTTGTAGAGAAGTGTGGTGTGATATAGTGCCTTTAAAATTGCAATCGTTACATAAGCGTTACCCAGTCGCTGAAATACTGCATACTGAAGGTTCAGAACACAAGTATTATGTTCGTATGAAATACATACCAGTAAATAACACTCTTCTTGTTACGTTTTAGTTTATTCACTAACAGACTTGAACTTGAACAAACTACAAAAACTCACTGGGTTAAAGATGGCATGGCAGTAAAGGTTAAAACTGCTTTGCCTGATGTCATTCATGAAGAACGTTTGTGTTCATGAATATACAAACGAGTCCGGCAATTCCGCACGACCAGTAATTCTGCGTAATAGCGTACTTCCGTATCGAAGGTAAAATCGTCTGCTACCACGTTTACGCTTGAAATCGGGACATTTCTACAATGGACTGGCTTTTAATCACTCAATGTAAGTGAACAACAGTAATTGACAGATAAATTGACAGTTTTATGAAAATCGTTTTCTTCAGACTTTTAAACCTTTTTCTTCATTAATCATAATTGGATTTAATATGAAGCACGTACCCTTCCTTACATTGATGAAGTGATTTTTGAAAATAATCTGGCCCTAATACGCTCCCATCGTTCGGATCTCCAGCTGGATGTTGTGCGCATCAGTTGCTGCGCAGAATTACCGGACAGCAAGCGATGTCGTCAGATTGACTGACTGACTGAGTTTGGTTTTACGCCGCTTTAAGCAATATTCCAGTAACATCACGGCGGGGGACACCAGAAATGGGCTTCACACATTGTACCCATGTGGGGATTCGAACCCGGGTCTTCGGCGTGACGAATGTCGTCAGAACGCCGGTAGGGTCAACCGTATGGCATAATGCAACGTTAGAATCTTATAGTCGTCATGTTAAGCATGTTTAGTCACGTAAACCACAAACAAATAGAGACGTTAGTTGCCGTGTTGCGATCGATGTGCTTAGGTGCGCGGAATTACCGGACTACATTGTACAGTAAACTATGTATAAAACGAACCCGCTTATGACGAACGGACGGATGTATCGAATGTTTAGCGGGGTCCTGGACACTTGTTGTAATTTTAGTCGAAATGCATGGAACGTTGTAACAAGCTAAAATTAGTTGTCCTGTTGAGTTCGCTACAATCGTAGATTGATGTTCAAGGAACGGATTATTGAGGTGATTGGAGTTCGCTATAACCAGGTTCTCTGTTTACTGAGGGTCACATGTCTCTGTTGTTCTGCAGCTGCTGGACCGTGACTAAAAGGAAAGAATTGTTCTGGATGATACACGGACCTCTGCTGGCTACAGCCGTGGTAAGTAAATGAGTGAGGTCATTTTAATGCCATGGTTGAACAGCTATTCTGTCACAACTGCTTGTCAATTCCTTGCCCTAAGAAATTCCGAAAACTTTGGCACTTTGATGAAATCAGGCGCTGACAGCGATACAGTTCAATCAGCGCCCAGGGTCATAGTGTTCTGGTACATCTCAGGGATGTAACTGAGTATATGGAGTTAACTCGACAGAAGGGATTTGTTTTATGGCTTGTGGTAAACGCTTTGGCACCAATGACATTGTTAAAGCATTTATGGATACAACTCTCGTTTATCTCCTCAATCACTCTGGCACTGATGGGAGTGAGTGAGTTTTTACCCTATATGGCGGTGGTCTGCAAATAATCGTGTCTGGAACCAGACAATCCAGTGATCAACAGCATGAGCATCGATGTGTCAACCCCGTCAGCAAGCCTGACTACCCGATCCTATTAGTCGCCTTTTACGACAAGAATGGGTTGCTGAAGATCAATTCTAATCCGGATCTTCACGGGTTTCCGGCGTTGAGGGTGGAATGATTTGCCCTCTAACGTGTAATAGTGTTTCGCCCGATGCGTACACTGTACAGGTGAAGCAGACACGACACAACAAATGGAAGATTCGTTCATTCTGGAACGTTCGTACAAAAAATGTGAAAAAAAAAGGTTTTGTGACCTGTTTAACAGAAACACATTGCCTTCTGTTTAATTACCTGTCCTGGTTAATTGGGCAGGAAATGTGGGACAAAATACACCCTCGGGTCTCTGCTTCGAAACATTTCTTTGGGCGGTGGGGTAGCCTTGTGGTTAAAGCGTTCGCTCGTCACGCCTAAAGACCCGGGTTCCATTCCTCACATGGGTACAATGTGTGAAGGCCATTTCTGGCGACCTCCACCGTGATATTGCTGGAATATTGCTGAAAGAGGCGTAAAACTCACTCACTAAAAACAATTCTAAGAAATGTAGCAAAGCTATGTCCATTGTACTCACTTATGTTCATCAGTTGATGCGATGGTGTGGTCAGGTTATGGGGCTGTTCGTTTGTGAGTTCGATTCCCAACTCAAAATGCCGTGGCTGTTCAATCGTCCTCGGCATGGTATGGATGAACCAATGGCCAAAATAGCATAATGATGATTCACTCACGCTCAGCTGGTGAAAAATCAAATACATACACATGAAATAATCAGATTTTTACAATCGAGACTTTTGATGGATGTGGGTGTATTTTGTTGATTCTATTCACGAATACTACCCATGTGGGGCATCGAACCCGGGTCTTCAACGAGCAAACGCTTTAACCACTAGACTACCCCAGTCTGACAATATCAATGGTCTAGCACAAAGAACCGGCATGTCTGAACTGGTTCAGGCAGCACACACGTGGATTCATGTCCCAATATAAGAGCAATACCCTTGAACACAACGTTTAACCCAAGTCATCCAAGTGTTTTTGGTAACCTCATATGAAACGACATTGCTCAAGCAAGTTGCGTTATACTCCCGGTTAGTGAGTGAGTGAGTGAGTTTAGTTTTACGCCGCTTTTAGCAATATTCCAGCAATATCTCGGCGGGGGACACTAGAAACTCCCGGTTAGAATTGGTCATCAGTAACCCATGCGTGTCGTACAGAGGCGACAAACTGGATCGCGTGGTCAGGCCCGCTGACTTGGTTGATATCAGCATCCGAATGGCTGGTCAAGAATTGATTATCTACAAACCGCCACATTGGCATATTGCTGAGTGCGGCGCAATACAAACAAAACAAACCCAAATCATACCAATCTGACAGAGTGAATGAGTGAGTGACCATGGTGTATAACACCGCTTAGTACGTGCATGATCCAGAGGGGGGGTTCAGGGGGGTTCAAACACCCCCCACCCCTTTGAAAATGACTTTAGATCACATTGAAGATTTTGTTTTGCGTTGGCGGAGCCAATGTGGGGTTCAGGGGGTTCGAACCCCTTGAGCCCCCTCCTTTCAAAATTCCTGGATCCGCCCATGCATGTGGTTATGGCACTGTCAGTGAGTGAGTGACTTCAGTTTTACGCCACTTTCAGCAATATTCCAGCCAGCATCATTTAACTACGCTATTCAGTGTAATACATTTTCTGTTGTAGATAAACTTCATATTCTTTTTTGGATATATTACGAGTACTGTGTACGAGGGTCCGAGCATCGGCACGACACATGGGGCGTACTAAATACAGGTGAGGAGGCAAGGTGTTATCCGGTATATGAATACCAGCTCTCTTGAATATCAGGCCATCTTAAACATGTTTCTGGTTTCATATAAACTAAGTACTGATTATTTCAAAATTGGAGGTGACAATCACAGTAACATCTCACCCTACCGGTTACCCGTTCACTGCTGAGTGAACAGAGACATTTGTAGGTCGATGTAATATGCACATATAATTCAGTTTGTGTCACAACTGAAGCCCATTAACCTGCAGTCAAGGTTAGAGTACTCGCCTTGGGACCTGCTGCCAAATAAGGTCACCAGCTAGCACAACCAAACTGCTTAGCTTCGCGTGATTAATGACCTCTGCAAGCCACGACCACGTTCCACCCACCACTGGTTTCTCTCTTCCGGATTCGGTTCATGGTGACGTGATGAAGCAGCAAGTGTGCTAACAACGGCTTAAATTCCGGGTTCGAATCCCGGATGGGACTCAACCCAACAATCTGAAGTTCAATCCCAAATATAACATATGTTACATTTGAAAACTTTGCATTGTGTATTTAAGGGCTTAAATATTTACACGCTTTCAATGAAATGTTTTTGATTCTATTCCAGACGATTGGCCAAGTTCGTGTTGGTTCTAATTCCCTTATTTGGAGTTCTGTTCATCGCATTTCATGTGGCTTTCCCCATCAGATTCAAAAATAAATTCGACCTGACACATCTCTATATAGAGATGACGTATAATTCCTTTCAGGTACGTGCAGACTCTCAGTTTCACAAGTCAGTTTATAGTATTGAATCCATGGTACGCTATGGTGAAACGACAATCCCCATTAGTGAGTGAGTGAGTTTAGTTTTACGCCGCTTTTAGCAATATTTCAGCAATATCGCAGCAATATCGCGGTGGGCTTCACACATTGTACCCATATGGGGAATCGAATCCGGGTCTTGGGCGTGACGAGCGAACGCTTTAACCACTAGGCTACCCTACCGCCCCCAGCAAACCGAAACATGAGTCTCATTAACGTATTCAGACAATGACCTACTTTTCAGCCGATCCGAATTTTCTCGTGTGAAAGTGAAAATAGACATCATAAACAACTATGGGAGAGCCTCGTTTTGAGATTTCCACAATTTCCAGGTTCCTGTTTGTCAGAGCTCGCTGTACGACAGAGCACGCTGCACGACGTGTTTGCAAGGATTAAAAGGAGCGTAGTATTGCAATATACAGGTGCTTAGATGTATCAAAGAATACTGAATAATAATTATGTATCCAGTTAAATGAATTGGTCCCAAAAACTTGACTAGTTATTGTACTAAGTTGCGCAATAGGACGGGATCCAGGCAACATGAAACGAGACTGTTGTGTAATCAATGTTTTGACTTGGGTGGGCAAGTAAACTCCCGGACGAAATAAAATTTAACGTTTAAATAAGATTTGATTTATTTGTTTCTCCGTTTTTCATGCGCAGTCCAACTTTTAAGTGCATGCTGTATTTTGACCGGTGAGTTAGGGAAAACGTACTCATGCCGAAGACTATTGTCACTTTATATAGATGGAATGTTCTTAGAAAGGGACGAAAACCCAATTCATTCTCTTAATCCTGTGGGAATTCCTAATTCCACATCTTATGAGCAATTAGGAATGTGAATATTTCTCTCAGCAAGTTCATTGTCTGGACTGGTGTTCGTAGTCCCGCCATTACGCGTACAACCTTCGTGGGGCTCTTGAATTGTTAAAACTGTGAACGTGATGCAAACAACTTAATAAGTAAAGTGTATTACCCGAGTTATGGTTGAAAGGATGGGAAGGAATAATTATTCATTTTTGCTCTACAAACACAGACAGGAAACACTCGAAATGATGCATTTGCATGCTCGAAACTGTTACACAAGTTTTTTGAGTATAATATGATTGCACTTTTAAGTGCCTTTTTAACGTCAGATATTAATTCTGTTTCAGGGATTCATACTGTCGCTGTTGTTCTGCTTTTTAAACGAGGAGGTAAGTAATACATTACTCTTTAGTTTTTCTACTGGACGGCTCAGTGTGTGACCTTAAGACTTTTAAACGTTGACATTTCAACAAGCGTGATGTGACATAAACAACTACCCCGGAGTATATCCTAAATATATTGATCAAACTTTATATGAAATTAACGTGTTATCCATTTCGTCAAGCCGAATTTCACGTTATTTTAGATTTGTGATTGTAAAAAAAAGTCATTTTTCGAAAAAATGTTCGAAATATGTCAAGGATCCAATTCAATTTATAACATTCTCAGCTAATCAAATCGCAGCTCTCACTTCCCACAGTTTGACCTCGTCGTCATTGAGAGTTGAACCAAAGGAAAATATATTTTTCCTAATTTTTGTCGAACAAAATTAACGAAAGATTAAAATATATCCTTGTCAATGAGGAAACTTATAACATTTTACAGTAATATATGTATAAATATTATGCGGGCATATGACACCTTAAACAAGTGTGCGCACATAAGAAACAGCGAAGGGGGAGTTGTTTATGAGGGGCAACCGGCGGTGGTTTATTCTTCTTGACATTATATTGTATAATGTACTACGACTACGAATCTTGTATTTCCTATATGACATACCAACGTTATCTACAGCCTCTTAAAGGGTGTTAATACCATTTACAAGTGTTAAACTATTTACCCATATAAAATATGGATGAGTTCTTCAATACAATCAGCTATGTGAGACAATTCTATGTAATGAACAGGGCGTTAAGTTGGTTTACCCTGCATCAAAATGCTCAAATTTCCAGTGGGACTTTTCTCCAAATACTGATTGCAACATATCGCGTAATTTCGTTCATATACGTTGCCGACCAATACCTAATGGTAACAACCCACTACTCTCAAATAACTGAAATATACGTCGTCCAGTTTGCATCATGAAGTTGCGAGCATATTGTGTTAGCTGGTTCCTGGCCGTCTCCTCAGTTTACAATATGTTAGACGGGACCCAGCTGAAGGTATGTTGAATATCCAGAAACGACATCATGATAGATCAGTAGGAAATAACCACGTTCTCCGCTGTTCAAGCTAATGTATATGTTTGTTTTTCAGGTCCATGCAGAGATAAAGCGCATGTGGTATAGAAGGAAGAGTAGGCGTGGTGACAGTGTGGCCTTGACGAAATCATTTGTGGTATCCTCCTTTAAGAGGGCTTCCTATATCAACAGAGGACAAGTACGAAAAAACGGTACAATAGTGCCAGTGGAGGTTCCCAAAAATGACGATATTTTAGCCAAATTACGCACAAGGGCTTTAAGATTATTCAGAAAGCAGGAAAGTATTGACGATGGAGAACTGAACGAACTCCAATCTGTTGGAGAGAGCAAAATAGCCAAAGACAAGAACGATAACCGTGCAGAGTCTTCCAGTCGTGGGGATTGTTCCGATCGGGTATCGTGAATGCAATCGGAGTAGATCGTTTTTCAAAATGTTTGTACAATGCAATGCGGGATTCCGATTGTCAGATGTTGAATGGTGGACCAGCGAACTGTAAATGTGCACAAATTAATTGTGATCGTGTGTTGATCACAACAATATGCTTAAACGTTATGGCATGTTCAGTGTTAAAGAACATATATCATGTGGACATTTTCTTCGAATCTGCCTAGAACCCGGATGATGGATCGCGCTTGAGGTCCATGGAGTATTTATCTCGGATTTGACATTGCAAGGATGCCTATATGTCACCATCAACACCTTAAACATTTTGTATTGACAGAAGCAATGCCAAATCCTTGTTAACAGTTTGAAAATAAGTATTGTGTTTCTAGAGAATCAATATGTGTATGAGTCGTTGTTCAAAGGGACTGGGATTTTTTTTATGTTTTTTTTTCAGTTTTGTACAGTATTCCCTTAAAAGTGTAACCTGAAACATCATTATGTTTCATGGAACCATACGCTTGTGGTAACAACAGGTGAGAAACTATTTTCCATTTTAAAGCATTTAGAGGAACGTTATTATATTTTAAGGAATCCCGTGTACCCGTATTGTCAGTCTGGTGGTTTATCAAACGTTCGTAATGAGAGCCTCTGGTAAAGAGGCACAGAGATGTATATTTACCTTCCATGGTCAGGGACATGTCATCGCATCCCAGTTACGTAGATGGATGCTCATGCTGTTGGTCACTGGAGTGTCTGGTCCACACTCGAATATTTACGTGTGCGACGTCAAATAACAAACCGACCAACCAATCACGGGTTAGGGAGGTGAAGTAGGGTTTAACGTCGGTTCGAGGTTATGACGCGTGTGTGTGAGTGTGGACGTGGTTTTGGTGCGAGAGTGTGCGTGCAGGCATGTGTGTGTGTGTGTTTGTTTGTGTGTTTGTGTGCGTGCGTGCATGTGTTTGCTTGTACCAGTCCAGACTAACGTCGGTTCGAGATTATAGCGCGTGTGTGCTTTCATCTGAGTGTGGTTTTGGTGCGAGAGTGTGTGTGCTTGTGTGCGTGCATGCTTGTACCGGACCAGACTAACGCCGAGTATTATGAAGCCAATCCCCAAACTTACCATGCCGCAGTTGACATGGATTCTCCACTCAGAATATCGACTCAGATCTGACATTTCTTGTTTTATCGAAATTGATGCCGAGCTCCAGGCAGGGTGACAACAAGTAACCCTTTTAAAGTCTTTTTCTACGACACAGGCGGGTCATCGACAAGAGTGAGTGAGTGAGAATGGTTTTTACGGCGTTTTTAGCAATATTCCAGCAATATCACGGCGAGGGACACCACAAATGGGCTTCACACATTGTACCCATGTGGGGAATCGAACCCGGGTCTTCGGCGTGACGAGCGAAAGCTTTAACCACTAGGCTACCCCACCTCCCCTCATCGACAAGATGTTACAAGAGAAGGACAATACTGATCTGAGACGACAATTATATATCATCGTGGTATGTTGTCATTTCTAATCAGACGGTTGACACAGAACAGAGACACTGGGATTGTTTTCATTTCACGCTGATTATACCCCTAAGTTACACATGTTCTCCAAAGTTTTCTTTATTATAGGGTTGGAAAATAACCGGAAAATTTTGTAATCATATCAGACACGAACAATTTCCAGATGGGGTTTCACGAAGAAATACGAGATGATGATGCCAGGACAGGGTTACTGGGAGTCGCTATTGATCTGATGAGCTCAAGAGATGCTTCAGAGTTCCTTCGCAACGTAGCGTGACGTTATAAATTGAACGACATATGAAGGTTTAACTGTACCAATTGAATTCTGAAAAAAAAAAACACCGAGCCGACGCTGATTTGAATTTAAAAACCTTCAACCTTTCTTATCACTCATGCTATCCAGTGACAAGCCGTTTGGTTTCCGGAAAAGAACGAACGGAAATAATTGCAGTTCAATATCAGCACTTCATTCTTGTCGCTGGATCGGGTCTTCCGTGTCACTTTGCGCTGCATTCAAAGGCATGATCAATAATAACACAGTTGATATGATTGTCAGGAGCAAATTGTTTGAATGTTTGTATTAATGGATCATCCGTTACATGTTAACCGACCACGTAACATGTATGTGAATGGGGCTGGAATTTATATTATCAAGCAATTCGAGTAAGGTGATGGAGTAGATATTTAACACTGCTCTGAACAATACATCGCGGGTGTCGACAATGTGTAGGGTGGGGTGGTGGTTTAACATAAGTTGGGTCGTAGACTTGTACATGAAACCTACGCATATGGATATTGTGCTATGGTGCTGTCAAATAAACAATATGGGTGTCATAATGTTCGTATTTTGAATATTTGCAAATATCCAGGAAATGATTGCTCACAAAGCAGATTCCTCGGCCACTTCGATCGCCATTTTGTGATTCGACTTGTCCGAGAGAGATGCCGAATTTATCCCGACATGTTAATGGTAAACATTTGTCAGGCATTATAGACTTCTGTCATAAATGAAATGAAATCAAACGTGAGTTTCAATTTCATTTGAAAATCGTGTCTTATTACAGATTATTAACTTCACGATTTATTGCTTGTGTGATCAGTGACTGACGATGTTTGACAGAGATTGCATTCAGTGAGACTCTAAATATCCGGCAAAAGAAAGTATACCCTCGGAAATTAAATTTAACAGAAAAAATAAAACGGAATCAAAACTTTACATGGCTGGAAACAGTTGCCGAAACACTTCAAACTTATCGCCCAAAACATAACTGTGATGCAGTAAGAAATAACACAGTAGAACAACCATTTCTGTTGTTTTTCCACCCAGCATAAAACATGGGTGTGCACTTTCTTCTGCCAGGCTGTCGTTTTTTTAAATACATGTATGATAAAATCTTAAATATTAATAATCATGAAATAAATATTCCATATGATGCTCAAAGTGACGACATTTGTTACTGCCAAGACAGGTATGCAGTGACACAATAGTGTTTATTTGTTTGTTTTGTTTATGTTTATTGTGACGTATTTGTGTATATAATTATGCGTAGGTTGTGTTTGTGATCATGTATACAAGACAACACGTGCTATCGGTTGCTCATATTTGTATTAAATATATATCTCGTCAAGTCACAGACTCGTGTTTTATTCAATATGTTTGTTTAATGCCGTATTAAACTGCATTGATGATATGTCACAGAGCATCAACTTCAAGAAAGTCATCCATCCAAGATCATAAGCTGGAAGGCATTGAATAACACTGACAAAGTCTCACAATTACAGCACTCTTCCGTGCACGACACTTGTCGTATGACCTGAGCTTCCGTGTTGTTTAACGCCGTACTCAGCAATATTCCAGCTATATGGCGGCGATCTGTAAATAATCGAGACTGGACCAGACAATCTAGTGATTGTTCCAGTGAACATCGATCTACACAACTGGAATGCGATGACATGTGTCAACCAAATCAGCGAGCCTGACCACCGAATCCTGTTAGTAGTGTTATAAGGCGAAAATGCATCCGTTATTCAAGAAACGTATCACAAATCCATTATTGAGAATTACGGTTATTTCGTCATGGAATCAATGCTATTACTGCTTGGTAATAAACTAAAGGATAGAGAACATGATAACTGTCAGTAACAGAACAGAAAATACTCTTAAAGTAGCGATTAACGGTGAGTCACCGATGAGTTTACAGTAATTCTCTGATTACGAGGTACGACATGAGACCATGGAATGATGTAACTTTAAACGAATCAGAGGGGTTGTATCTGGTCATGTGACAAGGGTGAAGCAGGCTCGAACACCTTAAAAAGATGGGTTAGCACTAGAAAGTGGTGCGGGTTACAAAGTCAGCAGAACGTTCGCATCGCAATCGATCAGTTCCATATCTGGTGAACAGCTTGCCCTATCCTGTCCTGACCATGTCACCTTGTAATGAAGAGAAGGATCGAGTAAACCTATGTGAGTATAGAACCTAGTGTTGAGTTATTTCTTGTAATGACAGAGTGACAGTACATGAATGTAATGTTGTAGTTAGGAGTCTCGGTCGTCAGACCTCACACTCCTAAACGTACAAGCCCCGGACGGGCCAAACGAGTATGTAACCTGAGCTTATATAATTTCATCACCCCTGACAATGCGGAACGGCCATCTTACTAGGTAACTGGTAGTAGGGTTTACTAACACCCAAATCCCGGTTACGACATGGTGGAGATGCGAGTGTTGAAGACCAGTTCTAACCTGGATCATCATGGAGGAAATGCTTTTGTCTGAATATCTCAGTAAAGCTGATGGCAATGATGATGTTGGATAACATATTTTGACAAGTATTAAAAAAACTCTGGTAAGAGTTCCGCGGGTATCCCCGCTTGAAATGTGTTCTATTTATTATGATTATTTCTAGGGTTTAGGTTTTGGGTTTAGATTAAGCATTATGTAAGGTTTAGGGTTTGGGTTTGGGTTTGGGTAGGCTTTCTATAAAAAAACCAAAAACATCTATTCTTGGCATAGAATGATAAAAGACGGGGCTTACGGGCGGAAATCTTTCCAAACCTCTGCCAAAAGTCCACCCTACAATTCCAACTCTGAAATGACCATGTGTTTGTGAAAACAAGTCACATAGTGATGACGCCTGGTGTTCGCGAGAAGCTGAATGTCCCTGTCTCAACAGTAGTCACAAACACACGCTAAGGCAAGGCAATTCTTCACCAAGGGAACATATGGTATAGAAGAAAACAGTGAAATGCTTTCTACATCACAGAATGCAGACAGGCGTATGCTAAAGTGGCTACCTTTATTGTGGGCGCATTAAAACACCACATTGTTGACATTTACAACGTACCCGTGAAGATCCGGGGTAGAATTGATCTTCAGCAACCCATGCTTGTTATATGAGGCGACTAAAAGGATCGGGTGGTCAGAATCACTGACTTGGTTGACACATGTCATCGTATCCCAGTTGCGTAGATTGATGCTCATGCTGTTGATCACTGGATTGTCTGGTCCAGACCGCCGTCATATAGCTGGAATACAGTTGAGCGCGGCGTTAAACACCAACCAACCAATCTTTTACAACGTTGATGCAACGTATATGGTGTTGATGACAAACGAACCAAAGTATAGGGGGGATTTACGAGCCGACCTAAGTACAATCACCCATTCATTCACCGTAGTAATGACTTGCCCAGGCCGGTAAACTCCATTGATTAAGATTCACTTTGAGCTCGGGCAGGTCATTTTCCCGATCATGAGCAGCGAGTGCCTCAGTCCAAGGTAAACGAAAGTCTGGAGTGAGTGAGTGAGTATAGTTTTACGCCGCTTTTAGCAATAATCCAGCAATATCAAGGCGGGGGACACCAGAAGTCTGGAAGCTCCCCATGGAGACAAATCGGTGTGCTGAATGTTTCATACGTATGGGGTGGTGTTTGCTGGCTCATGAGGTATTTTGCTCCATATTATTATTTAACAAAACAATAACACATTACACCAAAGTTTTAAAAAACGGCGTCTGCTTACGGGTGAATATTGGCGTAAAGAGGTACATTGATTAAATAGCGACTTTTGGTAATCTACGAATCAGAAACCTTGCAGTTTTATTCCAATTTGTCACACACATTGCATATTGCTGCAAGCACCAAATCCTAGGGACCCATCTATGGCCTTGTTAGGGTTTGATGTTTCTTGTATCCAGTTATATGTTTAAATAGATATACCATGTCTATAATCAGTCAGAAATCACAAAGGGAACGTACGTGTGTGTGTGTGCGTGCGTGCGTGCGCGCGCGTCTTGGTTTTATTCCACTTTTAACAACACTCGAGCAATATCACGGAGGGGAACACTAGAAATGGGCTTCACACATTGTACCCATGTGCACAAAAGGAACAATATTAGGGGTGGAGAACGTGAGATGTTGAAAGCTGCGATTTTGTATGGAGACGGCCTTTTTATACCACCACCCTCATTATTGTCTTGCCTTAAAATCTTGAAACAATGTATTTTTGTGGTAGACATTTACTTTCAAAATAGTTCTACATCTAGACTAACGCTT